GCACCAGGTGTGGTTACAAGGCACCAGGCGCGGTTACCACGCACCAGGTGTGGTTACAAGGCACCAGGTGTGGTTCCAAGCCACCAGGCGCGGTTATCATGAACCAGGAGCGGTAACCGTACATCAAGTATTATAGCATTAGAGCAGGCTCGGTTACTTTTCAAAATGGCCGTCTTTTCCCATGTTTCCATTTTATTAACTTGTTAGTAACAATCTTTTCTCTTTGTAATAAAAGATCACATTTTATTAAACTTAATCTTCTCGTAATATACTTTGTCTTGTTGTGTAACGTAACGAACCCGCACAATTCTCGTACGTTGTCACGCTGCACACCTAACACCTCGTTACTCAAAGTATCCTTGTTGGATCAGAAAATCACTGCACGGCACGGCACGGCACGGCACGGCACGGCACGGCACGGCAAGCACGAAAAGTGAAAGAGCAGTTTGCGCGATGGGGGACGACTAACAGTACCTTTGAGATCATGCGTTTGTATCTGATCTTATCACTTTACTTGAACCATTCAAAACATCCCGAGGTTGTTATAATATTCAAAGAGAATGACTGAGAAGAAACAGTCATAGAAGCATAGTTTTTACTCGAACCATTCAAGACATCCCGAGGTTGTTATAATATTCGAAGAGAATGACTGAGAAGAAACAGTCATAGAAGCATAGTTTTTACTCGAACCATTCAAAACATCCCGAGGTTGTTATAATATTCAAAGAGAATGACTGAGAAGAATCAGTCATAGAAGCATAATAGAAATCTATTGTCTAATGTTATAACAAACGCGAGTGCGTTTTTAGACTCCTTCTGTGATTGGCTGAAAAATGCTAGGTGCGCCAGCTGTACTTTTTTTCTTTATCTTTGATTTGTTCAGACCAAAAAGTGATCTAGAGTCACGTTATCTTATGTCCTAGAGTGACTTTACTTGGTCCGTGAAAAAAACTTGTATCATTAATGACTAGAGTGATTTCATAAACCCGCGAAATGTTAGCGTAATAATCATTAATACAAACTAGTACAAGTTACTACTCATTAGACTTTCAACAGTGAAGTAATAAAACACAGGCAATAAACGTTCACTGAACACTTTGATTTGGGACATTAAGATCTGTAAAATCTACGACGGCGACGTCAACCGGAAGTGTAAATAATTTCTCTTTGGGGTTCTGTTCATTGGAGATTTTATTCAAAACATTGTCAATAAAGTCAACTCATCCACAGGGAAGACAGACTTCGAAGGCACGAAACCCCAAAGAGGAGTTATTTACTTCCGGTTGACGTCGCCCTCTTGGATTTTGCAAATCTGAAGGTCGCTATTGTCTCGCTAATAACCGCTATTATAATTCATTATTTTGCATTAATAGAAGTTAATAGCTACATTTTGTTTCACGGGTTTATGTAAATCACTAGTAAATTACGTGGCTGCGCGGAGAGTGGAGATAATGGAGTTATGGTCTACTGTTATGTATTTTGCTCACTATTCTTCCACGGGCCAAATAAAAACGCTCTATGCCTTTCTGCATGAGTCCGGTACCTAGCTTTAGTTCTATCCAACGGGATCATCTACAAAAAGCTAGCAAAGACAAACCTGGGAATACCGAAAAACTACGCCAAAATCCAATGAAAAACAGTCTGATTTCCGTCTTTTGTGTTTTCGTGCCAGCCTTGCATCCATGGTATTTTATGAACGGTGCGTGAAAAGGTACACGATATTTTTAGAAGGTGGACGTAATTAGCTAGGTTAGGTTTTGTCACTTTGCCTTTTTAGATTGTCCAATAGATTTCTGGTTGGTTATTTAAATATCAATCATCCAAAACAAATTTCGTCGTCGTACGCCCTCCTGTTAACCCAAACTTCCAACACTAATTTTCTTCGGATTTTCTAACGGAATTCAGTCATTCGTCTGGGAAAATCGTTCGCCTTCTCATCAATTCAGTCAGTTTGAGCTTGACAACCGAGGAAAAAAGAAGTAGGATATGAATGATAACTTTTAGCTCTTTCGCCAATACCACTTGCAGAACTTTATTCCAGATGTTGAGAAAGACAAAAGATATAAAAAAAGAAGAAGAAAAAAAGGAACAAAAAAGAAAGAAAGAAAGAAAGAGAAGAAAAGGAAAAGAGAAGAAAAGGAAAAGAAAAGAAAAGGCTAATGGGAGAGTGAAAACAAAACAACAAAACAACAAAACAAAACAACAAAACAACAAAACAAAACAACAAAACAAAACAAAACAAAAACGTGAAACAAAACAAAGACACAAACCTTTAATGCAATATGTCGTTTGATACTGATCTTCTTTTCAACACTTCGAGATATAATGCGGCGTTATATGTATGTCGTCCGTGCATTTGATATTGTTGGTGTATTTAAATCTTGTCGGCCCGAACACCGGCAAGGTGCGTAAGGTCAGATCGTGTAATACTTAATATCACCTTACAAGCTCTTCATCATCTCTTTTAGTTGAATGTTATCAGGAGAGGCTGTCCGTACCACTCTTTGCCAGGTATTTTGTTGTGTGAAAGGCATCCGCCTTTATTAATCCGAACTAACCAATACTAATAAAACAGTCAAAGGAGAAGATAACGACAGAAGAATATTTCCATCCAGGGTTCTCCATTAGTGTTAACGAATTTTATTATAGATATGAAGCGATGTGGGTAATTTTGATTTCAAAGTCTTGCGAAGAAATTGAGGAAAACAAAGCTTCTTTTTCTTGAGCAAAAACTACTTTTTAAAAATTATGAGACGTTTTTGGTTTCATCTGCTAAAATATTTAGTTAGAGAATAAGTAAGGGTTAGAGTTACAGGCAACTACTGTAACTAGGGCCACCTAGACCAGTTAAACAAGAAAACCAATTAAAACGTAGAATGAAAACAATGCATTCCAGTTTTGGGTAACCCTGGTGTTATGTGTAAACAACTAGATAGCCATCGTCATTTTCTCGTGGGAATAAAAAGATTTGTTGAAAGGTTATTGTTTTCTGATGCTTTCTGATTGGCTCCACTGCCAAAAGTGTCGGAATGTAATGTGTTTTTTTTATTTACAATTTGATTGATTCTCGTTGTATAAGCGGCCCCGATTATAGTAGTTGCAATGTAATACTGGGGCAACCAGAACGCACCAGGAACGCCTGGGACATAAATAGAATTACTCATTACTGTCTCATTGATATTAATATTTTTACATTTGTTTTCCAACCTCTCTAACTGTAATCAACCTTATCTGCGCTAACATTTCTTTCTCAGTTACCTAAATCATGATCATGCTATGCTGATGTCAAAATATCATGTTGATTTGTCGCTCTTATTGCGCATGCTCAAGTGATGACGTCATATTGCGTATGGCATGCTTATATATATGTACAATTCATTCTGTATTGATTTTTTTTGTTCTATCTTTTTGTTTTACAGAGAATACGTCTGACATCATTTATACCTCGACGAAAAACTCCACAAATCTTCACAATTGTAAATAAAAATTCAATTCGTAATGATGCAATTAATGATGTTTAGAAAACTAAGTAACGGGCTAAAACCCATCGGAATATAGTTAATGTTTGGAAGCGAATGAAAATCTTTTATTTTAAAATTAAGCTTGTTGGGTCAGATGTACTCGAGTATCACAAGGTCTGTAACATAAGTCACGCTGTCTGTAGATGTCACCCATGTTTAGTGCATTTGTTCTTGTTAGGTCACGTGATACTTGGGTCGTGTGTCCTTATTACAGCACGTGTGAGATACATCTTGATTGGGCCATGTGGTAGTTGGGTCTTATGCTCTAATTGGTCACTTGAAGTTATTAGGTCGCTTGACAAGATTAGGTCACATGACGTTATTAGGTCACGTGGCGTGATTAGGGCACGTGACGTAATTAGGTTACGTGACTTTATGAAGCACATGACGTTATTAGGTTAGGTCACGTGGTAAATGGCTCTCCCAATCATGTCTTGTGATAATGTAATCTATTATAGAGCAGGTGCATGTTACGTCATTGCCGCCATCTTGGTTGACGTTAACAAAGCATTCCTCAATAGCTTCTCTTGTTATATCAACCAAGATGGCGGCTGTTACATTGTTATTCACATCTCAAGGGATTTTGAGTCACATGGTTGCACACACTCTATACCTTGACCATACAACATAACAGTAAACCTACAACCATCATTATATAGTTTTCATCTGTGGGTGATATGCAGTACTTGCTATCAAATAATCATAAGCTAGTGCTCTTGTAAAAAATGATTTATTTACAAAAATCGTGTAGTATTTATTTGTCATCATTCTAAATGATGTCATGATTATTATTTGTTGTGTTATTTAAGTAGCATTAAGCAATCGTGAATGCATCAGCACCGTTAGAATGCTGCTTTGCCATTGCAGCCATCATCATCGTCATCATCATCTTTATCATCATTACATTGCAGTCTCATAATCATCCTTTATCATCTTCATTATCATCAGCACCCTTAGAATGGTGCTTGTCCATTACAGCCATCATCATTATCATCATCATCATTACATTGCAGTCTCATGGTAATCCTTTATCACCTTCATTATCAACAGCAACCTTAGAATGGTGCTTGCTCACTACAGCCATTATAATTATCTTCATCATCATCATCATTATATTGCTTTATCATAATCATATTCAGTTCATATCACCTCCAACACGTATGCAGCACAAAAGACCTTTTTCACGCAGCAGCGATGTTTTCCCACGAGATATTTCTGCCCGTTGCATGGTTGCCGCGTAAGAAAGGTCTTTCCACGAAACAAACGATTGCTTTTAAATGATCTTTTGCCCGCTTTGCAGCGAATACAGTGCACCCGTTGTAGGTAAATATGTAATCGAGTTCCAATCAGAGCCAAGCTCATTAGAATATATGACAATTTCGATAAATATAGTGTGAAATGCGGCTTATTAATGAGACTTTTGCATGATGGCGTCATTTGACTCCCACTACCATAATCCTTCGCGAATTTTCTTTCTTATTCAAATTCGTATTTCCTCATGAGAATAGTAAGACAATTGGTGCTAATAAACTGAACAAAGGAATGTGTGCAAGGGATTCTGGTAGTAGAGGTCAATGACGCCATCATGCAAACGTCCTATAACAATGTGTTCATGTAGTGTGGTGTGAGATTTAGCGAAAAAACACGTGACTTTAGACTGCTCATGCGCATGACACTGGTGAAAAACGCACTGCGCACGCTCGGAGATGGCGTAGCGTAACTAAGGGCAACTTATATTTTTTGATGCCGGTGTTTTGATTATTTTACAAAATTGCAAAACTTAAGAAAAATACTGAAAACTTAAGGTTGTCCTTTTCGCAATAGCAAGATAATTTCGATTGTGATACACTGCTGATTTATACAAAAAAACTTTTGTTTATACAAAGCAAAAATAATCATTTAAAAATGCCGCCACTCGCGGCCCGACGACGACATCCAGCATTGCTAATTTGAAGATAATCACATAGTCGGATTCTATGTAAAGAAATTCAAAAATATCTGTAAAATTTCAAAACGAATATTTAAAAAATAGCCCTGTAGATGTGATCAATTGTTATTGTCCGCCATTTTGTTTTTTCTCCCAACGCATGCGCAGTGCGTTTTTCATCAGTGTCCATGCGCATTAGAATTATGAGACATATCACGTGATCATATTCATAGCCCACGTTCTGCAGTACCATAAATAAAAACAGCCACTTCTGGATTTTGTCAAAGAATATCTTTTATGGTTTAATGAATTTTAAAAAATACATATATTTTGGCAGTATGTTTAAAAAAATTCTGTAGCAATTTAATTCTTGAAATATTTCAAAAACAAAGATGTTTGATAAGTTTTTATCTTTATTTTGTTTAACTAGTCGACCATGAAAATGAAGATTTTAGTTTTTGCAAGATTTTCTCTCCTATATGTTTCCAGAAGAATTGGATTTTTAATGATTTGAAATAAGACATTTATTCTTCAGTCACAGGTGACCCAGTAAATTCTCAAAGTGGACGCGCGGTTTTTCGGGAAGGAATAAAGTTAGTGTTAGTCTTAGGGAAGAAATAAATGGAATAGTCATTGGTAATGAGTATATCGTTATTTATAAACAAATAGGAATGCCGAAATACTCGTCCGTTGATGTTTTTTCAAATCAGTTGTAAAGTCTTTCTACAAATTTTAGCAGGCAACCAGTTCATTTGATTAGAGAGTGAAAACCAAATGGTTTGCTAATTAACCTGGTTATATTCCCCCAGGGGGAGGGAGAGGGTAAGGGTTATGTCGGCAATATCTTGTATCCAAGCCTTATTGATTCTAACGTGCAGTAATAAAAATTAACCCTGGTACGAGATAGCAGTTATTCGAGTTACACCTCTATTTTCTTCAAACGATTGTTTTAACTCGAGGAAATTGGGTCAATATAATATAATGCATATAAACTGACCCAAATGTAACGATTGTTTGAAGGCAAATAGAGTGTTACTTTAATATCTACTAGAGTACATAACATGTATCCGTGAAAGAAAATTTGTGAAATTTTTTACAAAACTTTTCACGGATATATGGTATACACTTTATTAGTATGATATATTTAATTTTTCTAAAATGTCACGTAGGACATATTCAGTAACGTCGTAAACGACTCGAAGATTTCCCGAACACTTTTTACTATGACGTCACTCGATCAATATGGGTTTGCGTGGTTTTCCACACTATTGCACAATACTTGAATCTAGAATTAGTGTGAATTGTACAAGAATATAGTATAGTGCTTGGTTACTTTAGTGTTAGTGGTATTTATATTATGAGTATATGATATCGATTTGAATGAATCACTTTTGTAAAATAAACATTATTAACAGTTGGTGTGGCTTTTATTCTGGAAGACGATGTATTCGTTTGCACATGACGTCATAGGCGCCATCTTGGTTAAATTTAGCAAAAGAATTGTCAGTGAATTCTTTTGTTATATCACTCCCTTGGGAATGATTGGAAACCTGCATAAGTCCTATCAATAGACGTCATTTCTGGTTGTGTAGAATTTTTCTCCCTGGATATAGACCAAATTCAAAACTCGCACCGATGTGAGGCTTAAGTTGTGAACAAAGGGATCTGGCGTGACTCAAAGTAATCTGGCGTGATTCAAAAGTCACGAATCACGCCAGATTCCTTTGTTCACAACTTAAGCCTCACATCGGTGCGAATTTTGAATTTGGTCTATACGACTTGGATAGCGCTATCCAACGGCCCAGTTGTGCGTCACTTAAGAGGTCCAGAGGATAACTCTATTGGATATTAAGCGCTATCCCGCGGATAAATCCTAATGCAGTGGATAAGTCGATGCTTTATCCAATAGATTTATCCATTATAAGATTTATCCGTCGGATAGCGCTATCCACCCTTTCGTACAACCGAGCCCTGATGATTAAACAAGAAGGGCAGCATTTGCTCGTCACTGAAGGCTGATGATAAGATTCATGATATTCATTCAGCTAATACACCGATCCCGGCTATCAATGATTGAGTGCCCATTCAAACAATGGGTAGTTTTCCCAATAGAATACACAATGTCCCACCAACCAACTTAAATTCATATTATTTTTTAGTAGTTGGCTTAATGTACCTTTTGAATGCATTGATTCTAAGACAGACATTTACAACGTTCATGTACCTTTTGAATGCATTGATTCTAAGACAGACATTTACAACGTT